TTAGCATTATCAATATTATTATTATTAGTATTATTACTACTATTAATTATTGTTAATACAATTATATATTTCTAATGATATAGTGAGGTCCCTATTATTATCATTTATTAGTATTATCATCATTATTGTTATTTTTATAATCATTATTATTATTATGTTAAAATACAAACTTAGGCCTGAAGATTACTTAAAAGCCCTCAAAATTCTATATTTTTTTTTATTCATTCATATTTTTTCCAAACGCAGAGACCATGGAGAATAAGATGGTGGTGGTTGCAAGTTTCTATGTCACATGATATTAGCGATTATTATTATACAGGATTTATATGGCGCCAACAGTTTGCGCAGCGCTTTACAATGTAAGGAAGACATTACAATCACAATACAATTCAAGGCAAGATGGTAAGGAGGGCCCTGCCCCTGAGGGCTTACAATCTAAAACGGAGGGAGAAGTGATACATGAGGAGGTAGCTGTGTGGGGATGAATTATTTGAGAAAGTGATGGTTGAGTGGTTAGGTTGAGGTGGGATAGGCTTCCCTGAAGAGATGAGTCTTAAGGGATCGCCTAAAGGCAGTCAAGGTGGGAGACAGACGGACAGGTTGGGGTAAAGAGTCCCAGAGGATGGGAGAGACTCTACAGAAGTCCTGGAGGCGAGCATGGGAGGAGTTTACAAGGGAGCTGGCGATGTTTATTAAACCCACATTTTCAGTAAACAATACACCTAAGTTTATTTTACTGGACACAAACACAATATATTACCCAATTTTTTGGTAGAATACAAAAGATGAGGTTGTGTTGCGTAAATAGATATCAAGTATGTCAAGTCTTAAAATTGAGCGCGCCTGTGAAAAGGTGACAATGCCCAAAATTTCACAGCTTCCCTTTACAGGTCATCATTTTATAGTTAACCATGAATAATGGCCCTAGAATTATTACTCTCACTCCCCGCCTGTTTGCATTCACATGTATGTGGGGAAGGGGCCTATATTGTTACATTGTTGCCAAAATATACATAATGTATGGCTGGACTAAGACTGCGTGAGTGGGTTCCTCTTCAAGATGAGTAGCCAACATCCCATCATCCCCCGGAATTGCCGGCATTGTGCTCGATAAACAGAATCAATTTTCTCCCCGCTGTTTGCCATCCATTATGTGAAGGACGGTGGATATTAAAATGTTTCTCGCTTGATCGCCTTCCAGAAATACACGCGGATCCAGTTATCGAGGCGGTAAAGCATTCAGCGCTGACAACACACAGCTAAAGATAGTTTGTGTACATTGTAACGAGCGCTCTCTAGCTGCTACCGCCATCCCGCGATAATTATCTTCGCCGTTTCTAATGCCCGGCCCGGCTCGTGCAGAGATGGTAAATTGCAGCAATGGCCGCATCCTGTGCAGCAGCTGCGCGTTTGGCGTCCCGTGGAGTCCGCAAAATTCTGCTTTCAATCTGATAAGAATTTTGAAGGCGTCATGTGCAGGGGATCCTGCGCTCCGAGCGTGGCGGGGGGCGGGGTGGTTTTTCTTTTCAAACGTTGCTGAGGCTTCGCCGGACTACAGGTACAAAGAGGTCAAAATTAATACAAATCAAGTACTCTTAAAGGAACTCCATCATGTGATCAACATCTTCAGCCAATCACTATGAGTTTCATGGACAGGGGTGCATGCTGAGAGAGGACATAAATATCTGAGTCTGACCGTGTGAGACTGTCTTTTCTCCCCCTGGCCTCCTTCCTGGGGGAGATGTGTTACATGTGTGCTGTCTGTTCAGACCTGAAGCCTACAGGTGGTCAGATGTGGACTCAGTCGAGGGCCGGAATTATTTCTGGGATGGAGAGCCAGGGAGGAATTTCATCTGCTGGAGGTGCTGGAGAAGCCAGGGTGGGTTTGGACCTCAGAGAGAAGTCTGGTGTCTCACCCAGGGGAGATCTCAAAATGTCTGCCAGCTATGGTGCCCTATCACAGTGTCACTGCACTTCTGGTCCAAAGACCTTCTACACTCTGAAGCTGAAGAGCATTTGGTGAGTCTGAAGTTCTATGTTCCTCAATCTCTACAGCCCTATACCCTCTCTCCCTATTTTGCGGGTGGTTCTAATAAAGCATCCTATAACTTCTAAAAGTAGGGAGGCGTATGGCCACATAGTCCCATAGAGAAGAACAGCGGCTGCGTACTAATCACACTGCCCGGGAGCTGCCCGTTATGGCCATGCACGGAGATGTACGTGCCGGCCGTTTCTAGTGTGAATGAGGGCTTACAAATTTTACAACAAAACTTTGAATAATTATGGTGGGTTGCTTTAAGAAAAAAAAAAAAAAACTGATCTAACTAGATATAGGGAATTTTTCCCAGGTCCCTTGGAGGTCCCCTTTAACCTCCATAGGATCCGAGAAGTCTCTATAAGTCCTCCAAATAGAAAGGACCAGATTTAACCTCTGATGTTGAATTCCCTCGCAGTCACAAGTAATTACGGGCCCGCGGGGTGCCGGCGACCAGTGATTCTGCATAGGCATTAATAATGTATATATAGCATGGCCCCGGGGAGAACAGGAAAAGTTCATCGGCGCTGTGGGTGGGTGCTCGGTGAAAAGCCAGAGGAAGGATGGCTGAGAAGATCTGCATGATGCCCCATTGGCGCTGACATTTATCTCTTCCAGCTCTTGACCTTTTCAGAGGAATAAGGATTTTATCTTATTTTTTTTAAGTGTACGGACATCTCAGCCTCCGAGTCTCTTAAAATGAATTCTATCACCCAGATGTCTGCATTATAAAACTTCTTTATGTGTATTTACACCGGGCACGGGAAATATGAATGGGGCCCACTTATATATCTTACATGATATGGCCAAAAGTATGTGGAAGCCGCTTCAAATGATTGACTTAAGTGTTTCCAGTGAGGTGTACTGGTAATGTGGCCCTTGCAATAAAACGCATAGTACAGTATATCAGGGACTCTCCACTATCAGTATTAGCTGCTTTAAAGCTGAAACCTGGGATAAGCAAATATTGTCTAAACACAAGAGTCATGCATATTTTCCTGTAGCGCCCCCCTAACCCCCAAAGGCCTGAGGTGGACCCCCAAAGGCAGGGAGGGCTGACATTTCACTCTCGGGGTGGATCCTTAGCCAGGTTGTGGGTTGTGAATGGTAAATTGGGGGCCAGTTTATTGTAGAACAGCCAAACTGGGAGATAGGGTATAGGGCTTCAGACAACCTTTGCAAAAATAGACTCCAGACTCACCAATCCCTTCCCACTTCCACAGGGCAGGAATACTTTTATTAAACAGAAGGTGACACTGTGTAGTAAAGCATCAGCTAAATATGAATGTGTATGAGATCTTCCCTGGGAGAAACACCCGACTTGTTCCTGGGGTCCATGCCTTTCTGACCTTCCTGACACATCCCACACACATCGCTACTCTGGTTCTCCTTGCAAGATGGTTCTAGACCCCACCTGGGTCCACATATGGCCTCCTCCAAGCTTGAGGTCTAGTCAGCTTCTACATCCTTGTACATCCCACGCCCAGACCAAGCCCGGGGGCAGACTTCCCTGAGCACATGTCAATCCCTGAGTATTTATGCACTTCCCCAGCATGCCCCACTGGCCATAAAACTCCTAGTGATTGGCTGGTGAGGCATAGACACTCCTAATGTACTCCTATTGGTTGCCCCAGTCTGTGGTAGGATCACACCCCACTCACAGGTAGGTGAAATCAATAGCAGAACACCTAGGAATGACCAAATGATTACAGACTACAAGTCAGCCAGACTGTTTACAGTGCTAGTAATATTGAATTTACGTAGCCACTCCATTTAGAGTGGAAGGGGCTACAAGACATTTCATTTTTACTCTAAGGTCAGCTTTATTGCAACAGCACAGATATTATAGACAATTGCCAGGCTAACCCTCTTGGAGAGCTTTTTTCCAGAGTATTCTTGGCACTAGTGCCATGTTGTGTGCTTGCACACGGTCCCAAACCTGGAAAACCTGCCAGGCTTCTATCTGTGGTCCTACCCAGGGAGCATCAGCGAGGCACTACAATAGCCCTGACTATATGTTCAGTATCTTCTTCATTCCCCCACATACCTAGATTGTTGCTATAGATAAACGGTCGGCCATCTTTGAGCTTTTCTTCCGCTTAATCAAAACATAAACGTCACTTTGGTTCACTGATGGCCATTAATAACGGCAGCGATGTGGGTTTAGCAGATTTCTTTTGTTTGCATATTATGAAGCAGAATACGGCTCTGTCTCCCGGATCTGATTGAAGTGGAATGGGAATGGATTTACACTCTCATGAAGCACCAACGCGGAGCTTTCATCACGCTCCCCTGTCGCCCTCAATCCAACGTTTGCCATAGACATCATTATCTGCCCAGGCAGAGATTTTTATTGCTTTTTTGGTGATATTCAGCAAAGCTGGCAGGACTCAGAGAGGTTGCGACCCGCTCTAATAAGGACCCGCAACACACAGAGCTGCTGATTAGTTATGATTAATTGCTATGCTGTAACACAAATGGAATACATTAAGTCATGGGAAGAAGGAATGACATCCAGCGAGAGGCCCGGGACGTAAGAACCATATAACGGAATGCAAAATAGCATATCCTTTTGTATATGTGCCACTTTAAGCTTTTGTTAAACCCTTTCTGAATAGATTAAAGTGGATCTTTCAGTAATTTCACCAGTCTGCATGAAGAAATTCTGGACATATCACAATATACAGCAACAGTATATTGTTTTTTTTAAAACAAGCTTCCATCTTCTGTTATCTACTAGCCTTCCATGAGCTCCAGTCCAGTGACTTTGCCTAGGCTGAGATGATGTCATCAGTTTGCTGCAGGCAGGAGGAAGCATTTCCTCTGTATCCTCTCAACCAGTGATCAGTGTGCAACATTTAAAATTTGTAGGAAGTCACAAGGTGAGAAGCTGCAGCCAATCTGTGATCTGTGTCAGACATTTGAGAACACATCAAGAACTCCATAGGCCGCAGGTTCAGACATGTGGTGTATGTGCTTGGCTGAGGAGCCAATGGGGCGAAGCTACCATCTGTGGGATTATGACTGAACGCCTCTGAGTCAGAATCCCCCCTAAAGGCGACGATACCGCAGTGCCGCAGAGCCCAGGTCGGCCTGGGATAGCCGGCCCCCTCACCCCCGAGGGCGGGGGCTGGTGCGTAGCGCCGCTCGTCTCTGGACCGTAGCGCGGACGGAGTGCATCGCATGTTCGTTGAGAACCCAGTGCTAAGTCATTCGTAGACGACCTGATTCTGGGTCAGGGTTCCGTATGTAGCAGAGCAGCTACCTCGCTGTGATCTATTGAAAGTCATCCCTTGAGCCAAGCTTTTGTCTCCCGAAAGGAAGGGGGTTGATGGTATATCCTTTTGTCATCTCTGAGACATCATCTCATTCCAGGAAGTAGTTGGTGACCTTGGAAGATTCATAAATTCACGACTCACCATTCTCTTTTATTATATACTGTACATGGATCATTCTTGACATAAAGATCATTTTTTTAAAAAGTATAGAAATAACCAAAAGATGGATCTGTGAAAAGAAAAGGGTCCCAGATCAAATCTCAGGGATCTCAAGTCTCCCTGATGTTCAGGGAGTCTCCCTCTTTCGGACAGCAGCTCCCTGATGTCCGCGAGAGAGGCATTTTCTCCCTGAAAGGTTTACTCTGACTTAACCTTTCCGGTAAGATATCAGTGGGTAAAGTTTCAGAGTGAGGCTTGCCTCCTGGAGGAAGGTCATGTGATCTCTAGAGTAGCCTCAGAGTGAGGCTTGCCTCCTGGAGGAAGGTCATGTGATCTCTAGAGTAACCTCAGGAGGCGGCTTGGCTCTCAGAAGGAAGAAGCTACTTGCTGCACAGAGAAGGAAGAAGCTACTGCTGCAGGGTTGAGAGAGTGCTGTTAACCCTTTGTGGATAATGTAGAATCAATTATATGTCCTGGTTGTCTAGTTATAGAGAACATTTATTTCATTTGCTGCCCATAGCAACTAGTTAACTGTGTATCAGGCACTTTACTCCTCAGTGTTTTTTTAAAAAGGTCTTGGGCTGTCTAATAAATTGTGACCTTTACACTGACAGATACTTGAATATCAATTCACAAATCTGATGTATATATAAATAAATATATAATATTATTGTATTATTGGTATATGGATTTTATTTTACTCTGTAAAATAGGTGACGAGGGAGCATGAAGCCAGCTTTCTGGCCAATCAGAAAGCCAGTGGGGCGTGTAATGACCCACAAGTGACGAGGGAGCATGGAGCTGGCTTCCCGGCCAATCAGGAAGGCGGGCAGCGTGTAATGACTCGATACCGGAAGCCCAAGTATCGGGCCAGGCATCAGATCTTTTGGGCAAGTACGAGTACTCGGCCCAAATACACGGCATCGGCACCGATACCAATACTAGTATCTGTATCGGTGCATCCCTAATTTGTATACACATGAATTTATTCCCAGAACATCCTCTGCAACTGGAAGGAACAAGGTTAGATCTCCTGCTATGGAAAGGGTTTTTTTTGCATTGAGAGCAATGAGAATATGGAATAATTCATCATAGGACAAGGTGCATGCAGATGTGGTAAATTGTTTCAAAGAAAGCACAAATGTATAGGGGAACGTACATGTCTAAGAAATACAATATATGGGCAAATGTATGTGGACATTGACGGGTACTGTTAATGCTACAGCATACAAAGACATTTGAGACAATTGGGCACTTTCAACCTTGTGGTAATAGTTTGGGGAATGCCCTTTTCTCTTCCAGCATGACCGTACCCCACATGGTTTGACCAGTTTAATGTGGAGGAACTTCAGTGGCCTGCACAGGATCCTGACCTCAACCCTATTAGCGTGAATTGGAACACCAATTGGGTGTTCACATGTGCAGTACCATGGCCACTGTGCAGTACCATGGCCACTGCAATACAAATAGAGGCCAAGATGGCGCCTTCCTTGGCTGTAAGGGATAGGCGGTTGTCATTCCGCTTTAATTCAGGACTTACCACACAACCAAACCTAAATGGATCCCATTTTTTACTTTCTACTGGATCAGCTAGGGTTTTTGAGGACACGCCCGCCAACCCGCCTGATTCCGCAAAATGGCAGCTCTGACCAAAATGTCAACAAAGGGTTGTGACAACAAGGGACTTGTTCTGCCCATTTGTTAACGTTCGGGAGCAGGGCTGTCAATTATAGAAAATTAGTTTGTAATTATCTAACGCATCTGAAATTAATAAAGACTTTCGGATCCGAATCCCGAAAAACAAAATAACCACAAGTCCGAAAGGAAACGAAAAAAAATGTTTTATGTATACTTCCAATGTTCAATGTTCAAATGCTTATATGTAAAACAAAAAATAAAATGTAAAATGTATATACTTGATAAAAAACATAAAATGTTAATACCTATAAACCTTAAAAAAATGAAATAAAATTGAACCACACCCCGGGGAAGTTTCCCTTTTCTACTTAACAAACAAACCGTGTCCCAGGCTGGGTTTTAGGCCTATTTATATTTAGCTCCAGAAAAGCTGTGTATAGATTGAGCAGATGTTATTGTTTGGAAAACCCTTAAATCACATTAACAAAACCTCCATTTCAGCAGGGAGAAAGGGATTATGACCAATAAAAAGGAACAAAATTAAATAATGTGTTCAATTTATTTATCTTCCCCTGAAGCTGGCTGTATAGAGATTAGGAACCCTCTGACACGGATCACAATGAAACATTGATGCTCGGTGACATGTTTTATTATAAGGGCAAAGTAATCAGGAGGAAAATACAACAGAAACATGACAAGGGAGGAGGTGATGTCTGTGGGTCCATGGATCTGGGGGGCCTGGCTCTAACTCGGGTTCAAAACCCATAAACTCTATTCAAAATTCTTCTTTCTTCTTTTTCCGTGCAAGGTCAATGTCACTGACCAAATATAGCTCTTTCTTTCTTTATTTTTTCTTTCATTCTCTCTCTTTCTCTCTCTCTCTCTTTCTTCCTTTTTTCTTGCTTTTTTCCTCTTCCTTCCTTCCTTCTTTCCTTCCTTCCTTCCTTCTTTCCTTCCTTCATTTCTCTCGCTCTCTCTCTCTCTTTCTTCATTTCTCTCTTTCTTCCTTTTTTTTCTTGCTTTTTTCCTCTTCCTTCCTTCCTTCCTTCCTTTCGCTCTCTCTCTCCCTCTCTCTCTTTATCTCTCTCTTTCTTCCTTTCCTTTCTCTTGCTTTTTTTCTTTCTCTTTCTTTCTTTCTCTTTCTTTCTTTTTCTTTCTTTCTTTTCTTTCCTTCTATCTTTCACAGATCAATTCCCTATTGCTATCTTTAAGGTTGTGATTTGGTACAAATAGCTACAAGTGATGATTACAGAAGGGGAGACTGAGAAAATGCTTCCCTCCCTCATTCTCCCATAGTGCACCTCTCAGCCTGAGCACCGCCGCAGGCCTGCATCTCAGGGGTGCCTTTTAATTGAAAAAAAAGTTATAGCGTTACTGTATATTGTGGCATGTCGGGAATAGGCTTGAATGAAGTAGGAAAGTGTTATTTTATTGACATTTTTAAGAGTCAACACGGAAGGCAAAATGACTCAGTTCATGGTGGTTTTATGTGTTTTTTAAAGCTTTGGGTAAAAGA